GATTTTTGTGAATTTTTGACTGGGGATTTTCTAAACATCTAACTGCCACTTACTTCTACTTATTTCTCCCTTTGTGATAAAATAATATTCCTTGTGTGATTTCAATTATTTTATGTTTTTAAATGTCTGTTTTAAAATCTACAATATGATATATTTTGATGAATGATCCATGCGCACCTGAAAAGAATGTATTTTCAACTATTGTCTTGTCATTTGTCTAAGAATGTCAGTTAACACAGGTTGGTTGATAATGTTGCTTCCATATCTTTCAAGATTCTCTACCTAAAAGTCCTATCAATGTAGATTTGTCAATGGTATATATTTTCTCATCTTTTTTTTTATTTTAACCTATGTGTTTATAAATGAAACATTCCTTGTAGACTGTACAGGACTATTTCTGACATTTAACTGGTGTATTAGGCCATTTATATTTTATATATAATTATTTTTGGTCAGATTATTGTTTACTCTCTGTTCTGTCCTTTGCTTGTTTTCCTTATTATGTTTTCATTTCTTATTTTCCATAAATATATTTTGCCTCTACCACAAAAAGAGGCATTTTTCAGATATCCCAATTTATCATGAATATTCATTGGTCATTCATGGAAAAAGCTTATAGGTGTATGAAAACTATCCTTCTATCTGTGAATCTCAAGGGTTCTACTCTTTCAAATTAGCCCAGACTAGGCCTTTGGCAAGCCCTTAAAAATTTTATTTTTCTACTCACTGGTATGACATCCAACATATTTTTTCCATTGATTCCATACTTACATTCCATATCTCCTTTGAATACATTTTCTTAAGTTCCAGGTTGTTTTTCTTTCTTAAACCACAGTTATATGATTGATTCAAGTAAATTTATGATTTAGTAACTTAGCTATTTTTTTTAATTTTTAGGTTACAAGCAAAACTCTTCTGGCTTTCTACATTCTGCACATAAGCAGAACTCTTCAAAGTCCACCTTTTGAATAGTAAGCTCATAGAGAAATTCTCCATCCTGGAAGTAAATATTCATAATAGTTTTTCCCCAAGATACTTCTCTACCAATATTTAATCTTAGTTCATATAGATATCTATATGATTTTCCTACTACAAGTTAATTTAAAATGAATTTTGAGGATATGACAATTCTCTGATAAGGTCATTGTTCATCTCTGACAAAAAGAAGCTAGGAGAGCTGCCTCCTTACCATGGCAAATTGTGACTTCTGTTGAATGAATGAATACAAAACATGACACCGGTCCTAAAGTGAGCTAATCAAAATGAAATCATATCCTTAGTTTAAGCTAACTTTTCCCATTACCATAGGACATGTTAATACTACACTTGATTGCATTTCTGACAATAGCTTTGATGATGGAATACACACACACACACACACCATGCTGGTGACTGATAAATCCAGCTCAAACATGGGTACACTGAATGTTTAAGATTGATAATAGGCTGGCGCCACGGCTCACTAGGCTAATCCTCCACCTGTGGCACTGGCACCCTGGGTTCTAGTCCCGGTCAGCACGCCGGATTCTATCCTGGTTGCTCCTCTTCCAGTCCAGCTCTCTGCTGTGGCCCAGGAGTACAGGGGAGGATGGCCCGGGTCCTTGGGCCCTGCACCCACATGGGAGACCAGGAGAAGCACCTGGCTCCTGGCTTTGGATCAGCGTGGTGCGCCGGCCACAACGCACCAGCCACAGCGGCCATTGCGGGGGTGAACCAGTGGAAAAGGAAGACCTTTCTCTCTGTCTCTCTCTCACTGTCCACTCTGCCTGTCAAAAAAAAAAAAAAAAAAAAAAGATTGAAAATAGCTTCTGATCTGGTCTGTCCAAGGAAATCCTTTTGACTGCTTCTCCATGTAACATTCTTAGTAGACACTCCATAGATACAAAGCATTAGTTAAATGGTACTCATGCTTTTGAAGGTAAAATTTAAAAAAAATGTTCTATTCAAATATTTTTGAGCTTCACTGACAAGCTAGTACTTTGTTCTGGCTCTTTCAGTCAGACTAGCTCAGTAAGGCTCCACTTTAACTGGGTCATGGGATGAAAGTGCAGACAGTATGACCTACTTTGTATATCAATAAAAAAGCGACATTTTCACATGTTCAAGAATACTTCCACAACCTGTTCTAACTATCGAGTTTCTCCCAATCTTAGAATTATTTTAAAAAGATAAAGATTAAATTATTATCTTGATACCTTGGGTAGTAAAAATTTAGGGAAAAATGATAAGTAGGAACTACTAGTTTGTAATGAAGAATATTCTCATTTATTCAACCCAGGAAATTCATGCAATCTTTCTAAAATCAGTAATCAGTCAATGAATGCCTTGTTCTCAATAATGTCCTAATTATCAGTTATATATATAAAACAAAGACTGGAACCTGATCTGAGGTAATGTATCTACTTGTGAAAAAACAAGACATGTACACAGGAAACAAGAAAAGGTAAAATATAATTAAGATTGTATTTCAGAGGTAGCAGGTACCATGAGGATCGAAAAATATAAATAATACTATAAGGACTAATCTGATGCCACAATATAGTTCATGGGCAAATCTGGCCAAAAATCTATTTTGTTTAGTAAAAACAGTGTCATTTCTATTTGACTAGTTTTATTGCCTTGGTTGTATTATACCATTTTTTTTTAATTCTCTAGCCTATGTAAGTTTTAATGATATTAAAATTAATTTCTGGGGCTGGCGCTGTGGCGCAGTGGGTTAAAGCCATGGCCTGCAGCACTGGAATCCCATATGGGCACTAGTTCGAGTCCCAGCTGCTCCACTTCTGATCCAGCTCCCCACTGTGGCCTGGGAAAGCAGTAGAAGATGGCCCAAGTCCTTGGGCCCCTGCACCTGTGTGGGAGACCCAGATGAAGCTCCTGGCTTCAGATCAGCTCAGCTCTGGCCGTTGCGGTCATTTGGGGAGTGAACCAGTGGATGGAAGACCTCTCTCTGGCTCTACCTTGCTCTGTAACTCTGTCTTTCAAATAAATAATTCAAATCTTTAAAAAAATTAATTTTTAAAATTTACTAAATGTTAACATTTCATGTCACCAGCCTAAATGAACTCATGAGCTCACACACATTCATTTCCTCTCTCTCCCTCTCTCCTTCTCTCTTTCCCTATCTCCCCCTGCCTCCTTTTCCTTCCTTTTCCCTCTGCACTTATTACTTAGGAACAAATTGGAGACATGATGGACATGTTACCTGAAACACTATAGTATATATCTCCCCAAAACAAAGACAGCTTTATACAAAATCATGTAAAGTTATCAAACTTAATTTAACTTGATACACTATAATCATTTAACATAAACCATATATTAAATATTGTCAATATTCTTCTTTATGGATTCTTCTCCCGATAAAATATTTATCCTAAAATTATGGATTTCATTTAGCTGTCATGTATCTTTAATGCATTTTAATATGAAATAGTTGCCCAATTTCAGATACTCTTTAATGACACTTATGTATATAAAGTGTTCAGGTCCATTATTTCTTTTTAATAAATTTGAATGTCTAGTTTCAACATATAAATGCCAGTTTGCCACACATCTCCATAATGAGTGATGCAGTGCCAACATCAGTCTATATGTATGATACCACATAAATTAATCTTGGAGAGTCCCACTCTTCAATTAACTTTCTGGCTAATGGGAGAATTTGAGTGTGAAGCCCAGTTATGGAAGGATTCCTGGATGAAGTTGGAAGATCTGCAGAAAATGACAAGAACATGCAAGGTGCAAGGAGACGTGTTAGTATATATGAGCATGGCATAAGCCTGAAGTAGTTAAATGAAGAGCCCAACTGTGGTAAATCAGTCTAATGGAGTAAGTAATTTGGAAATGACACTTTTTAAAAAAGATTTATTTATTTGAAAGGCAGAGTTATAGAGAGGGAGGGAGGGAGGGAGAGAGAGAGAGAGAAAGAGAGAGAGAAAGAGAGAGAGAGTGAGTCAGTCTTCCATCCACTAGTTCCTCCAAATGGCAGTAACAGCCAGAGCTGGTCCAATCAGAACCAAGGAGACTGGAGCTTCTTCCAGGTCTCCCACACGGGTACAGGGGCCCAAGGACTTGGGCCATCTTCTACTGCTTTCCCAGGCCACAGCAGAGAGCTGGATTGGAAGTGGAGCAGCTGGGACTTGAACCAGAGCCCTTATAGGATGCTGGCACTGCAGGAAGCAGCTTTATTCTCTATGCCAAGTGCCAGCCCCATGGAAATGGTACTTTAATCCTGATAATTAATCCTTAAATAACAGAATATCTGCAGTTAATATTGAAGAATCCTCAGAAAGAGAATTGTTAGTAACTGTACCAACCATTTCAGACACAAAATATAATAATAAACATGAATCTATTAACTGATATCTATTTCAGACTGTGTTGTGTTAAAAAGAATCAGACTTAATTCACAAACATAAACCATAAGAAAACTGGACCACATTGATAGAATTGTTTGTTCACATTAGACAAGCAACAGCATAAGCCTGGAATTCCTGAGAGAAGCAACAAAAATACAATAAGCCCCACAAGAACTCCAGGTTTCAACTTGGAGGTAATATCCTAATTGAGCTGGGTGGTTTTCCTTAGTTAAAGAGGTAGTCAGAGTTCAAAGGTCCTAATAATTCTAGAAGTGGTAACACAGGATTCTGGATAAATTTTCATAAATCATAAATCTATGCAGGAATCCCTGATATATCAGAATGCAAAGCTCATCAAGATTGGGCAATAAGTGATCAGAAAATTGCAAGCTAAGAAATTACCAGAGCTCATATAAGTGGGGGAATAATTTGAGTTCCAACTAGCAGGAGCAAAGAAACCTTAAATCTCAGGTTGTCCAGGGAGATGGTACAGCTGCAATGTTTCTAGATTAAAGGCTAACTGTAAACTCGCTTAGTGTGAAACAGAATCACTGCGCTGGTTATCACTCTACTTACATGAATGTGGTAACAAATACTTACATAATAAGTTAATTGAAACAATTTATTACTTACATACAGGCAACACGGGTACCAGAACCTAGGATTTACAGCAAGGAAGTCCCATGAAGTTCAGGAAAGCTGTCAAGGGAAGATGGAGTCTCATCTCTGCATGCCCCATGTTAAACTGCAGCTGTGAAAAACCAAAAGAGGTCTGAACTGTATTTTATATCCCAAGAGTCATCTTGGATCACTGAGCTAAAGTGCTGCAGGACATCCTATTCTAGGAAGGAAAGGAACAGAGCCCAAGCTGATCTGGACAGCTTCTAATTATCTCAGGATGCTGCATTCCCAGAATATTTTACAATTATTCTAAGAATAAGTGAGAAAGAGTGGACAAGCTGAGTCAATCAAGGTCATTCAGGAATCTATCTAGAATCTAGGAAAATGTTTAATACAGGTATTGAGAGGATCAACTTGATCTGAAAGTAACTTATTTTTGATCAAGACAAAATCCTACACATTTCAAGGAAAATGAAAAAAGTCAAACTATCAACAATTTAACACTCAATGTCCAATATGCCAATAAAATTGTTAGATATATCAATATTCAAGAAGACCCACATAGCCAAGATATAGAGAAATTTGAAGAAATTTGATGTTTAATGAGATCGTAATCAATATCTTCACAGAACTTCTGGAGGTACAGATAAGTAGACACTAAAATTCAGTTGGAAATGCTAAGGAACAATAACAGTAAGTGAAATTTTGAAAAACTAAAATAAGAGAACTCACTGCACTTGATTTTAAGATTTACAAAAATATAACAATCAAGTCAGTACAGTACTAAATGAATAAACCTAATAATCAATGAGATAGAATAGAGTCTAGAAATAGATTCACATGAATATGGTCAATTGATTTGTGACAAAAGTACAAAAGCAATTCAATTAATAGGGGATAGTCTTTTTAAAATCAATTATTGTATACATTAATGATGTACAACGTGGTGTTTATACATATACCTTATAGAATAACTAAATCAGAACTGTCATTTGTATGTCTCACTTCCCTTTTTGTGGTGAGAAGACTAAAAATCTACTCACAATCTACACTCTTGCCAGTTTTCAAGTACTCAATGCATTATTTGTAACCACAGGCACCCTGTTGTATAATAGATCTCGAACTTGTATCTCTTTTCTAACTGAAATTTTGTATCCTCTGAACAATGTTTCCCTAATATCTCCCCCCTCAACCCCTGGCCACCACCATTATAATCTCTGCTTCTATGAATTCAATTGCTATAGCTTCCACATATAAGTGAGATCATGCAGTATTTATCTTTCTGTGTCTGGCTTATTTAACTTAACATAATTTCTTCCAGGTTTACCCAGAGTATTCTTTTTATTAGGTTGAGTAGCATTCCACGATCTACATATACATATTTTCTTTCCCATTCATGCACTGATAGATACAAAAGTTGATTCTATATCTTAGATATTGTAAATAATGCTGAAATGAACATGGGATGCATAACTATCAAAATAATAGCTACAATAATTTGTTAAGAGCTCAGCAATATTAAAATTGTAAATTGTGATATCAAAAAATCCAAAATGGCAGAATAGAGTTGAAATGTAATTTTTCTTCTTTTGCAATGTAAGTTAATGGTTTAATATAACTTATAACTATGAAATGGTCTTGGTAGGCCTCATGGAAATCACAAATCAAAATCTATAATAGTTACACTAACAATGAAAATCAAGGAATAAAATTATACTACTAGAGAAAATCACTGGACAATGAAGGAAGACAGAAGAAAAAGTTTAGAAAATGAGTAACAAAATGACTGCACTGAGTCATTATCAATAATTACTTGAATATAAAGGGATAAATACTCCAATTAAAATAAATGGAGTAGTTGATTATATATTTTTTAATTTTTGGTTCTTTTTGCTCATTTGACAGAGACAGAAATAGAGACAGATGGACAAAGATTTTCCATCTGTTTGTTCAATCCTGACATGCCCCCAACAGTCCAGGCTGACTCAGGCTGAAGCCAGGAGCAAGTCTTTAAAATTGGTGGCAGGCAACAAATTACTTGAGCCATCACCTAATGCCTTTCAGGATGCACAGGTAGCAGGGGCTAGAATGTGAAACAGAATCAGAATAACCCAAACACTCCAATATGGAATGTGGCTTTCCCAATTGGCATCTTAACTGCTGTGCCAAATGGCCACTACGGATTTTTTTTTTGAAAAAAATTAAATGTTACATACAAGAGATTTACTTTACTTATAAGGACACACACAGGCTTGAAAGTAAAAGCACAGAAAAAGATATTCTATTAAAACAAGTATAGCTACTAGAAGTAGCTATATTTAAATCAGATAAAATAGACTTTAAGTCACAAGACATAAAAGAAGACAAAATGGCCATTATATAATTATGAAGGTGTCAATACCACAGAGGATATAACAACTGTAAATATATATGTACCCAACATTGAGGAACATAAATATATAAAGCAAATATTAATAGATCTGAAGGGAGAAGTAGATTGAAATACAATAATAGTAGGAGACTTCAACTCCCTACTTTCAGCAATGAAAGATCATCCAGACAGAAAATCAAAAAAGATGCATTTGATTTAAACTACACTCTAGGGCAAATAGACCTAACAGATATCTCTAGAAATTTCCATTCAACAGCAACAGAATATACTTTCTTCAAAAACAGCACATAAAAAACTTGCCATGATAAATAATTTGTCAAACAACACACACAAATCAAGTCTTAATCAATTCAAACAAATTAAGATCATATCAAATATATTTTCTGACCACTATGGAATAAAATCAGAATCAATAACACAAAAAACTTGTAAAATGTACAAATACAAGAAAATTAATTATTATGCTCATGAATAGCCAAATAGGTAAATTAATAAACTTTATTGGAAATTTAAAAACATTCTTATCACAAATGAAAATGGTTAACAACATGTCAAAACATATGAGATATAGCAAAATCAATTCTAATATGAAGTTTATAGCAATCAATATCTACATCAAAAAGAAGAAAAATTTCAAATAAGCAATCTAATATTGTACCCTAAGAAATGAAGAAGAATAAACTAAACCCAAAATACCAGAAGGAATGAAAAGTTAAAGATTTGAGCAAAAGTAAACCAAATAAATTAAAAAATATAAATGTCAATGAGAACAGATGTTTTCTGGAAGTATCAACAAAAACGATAAAACTTCTGCTGGCCTAATTGAGAAAAAAAAAGAGATAAATAAAATCAGAGATGAAAAAGGAGCCATTATAACTTAAAACAGAAAAATACAAAGGATCATAAGAATTATTATGGACAACTATATAGCAATAAATTGGAATTCTTCAAAGATACAGAAAATTATCCTGATACATATAACTTACCAAGGTTCAATCATGAATAAATAGAAAATATAAACATATCATAATAAATAACAGGACTAAATCAATAGCAAATGTCTCCCATCAAATAAAAACCCAGGATCTGATCATGTTACCATGTTTCTCTTAAACATTCGAAGAAAATTAAGACCAATCCTGCACAAATCATTAGTAAAACTGAATAAGTGGTAATTCTTCCAAACTCATTCTATGAACATTGCATCATCCCAAAACCCAAACCAAATATGGATATAACAAAAAATGAAAACTGCAGGCAAATCTCCTTGAAGAACATTGATGGATAAATCCTCAATAAAATACAAGCCAACGGGCTAGCATTGTGGCACAGTGAGTTAAGCCACCAGCTGTAATGTTGGTATCCAATATAAATGTCTGTTCAAGTCCTGGCCATTCCTCTTCCAATCCAGCTTCCAAATAATGTGCCAGAGAAAGCAGCAGAAGATTGCCCAAGTGCTTAGACTCCTACCACCCACATGGGAGATCCAAATAGAGTTCCTGGTTCCTGGCCTTGGCCTGGCCCAGCCCTGGCCATTGCAGCCATTTGTGGAGTGAACTGGGGGTGGGGGGGGAAGCTCCCTCTCTCTCTGTATTCCCTCAGTCTTTGTAACATTGTCTTTCAAAGAAACATATAAATCTTTTTAAAAAAAGCACAAGCCAAGCAAATTCAATAACACATTAAATAGATCATTCACCATGATCAAGTGGGATTCATCCCAGAGATGCAAGAATGTTTCAACAAACGTAAATCATTAAACCTGATAGGCACTAGCAAACTGAAGGACAAAACATATTTGATCACTTCAATAGATGCAGAAAAGGCATTTGACAAAATTCAACATACATCACGAAATAAAGTCAACAAATTAGATATGGAAGGAATGCACCTCAGTACAATAAATGCCATATTTGACAAACCTACATCTGACATCACTCCCAATGGTTAAAAGTGAAAACATTTCCTCTGAGTTAGGGAACAAGCCAAGGATGCAACTGTAAGTACTCTTATTTAACATGGCACTGGAAATTGTAGCCCATAGCAACCAATAAAAACAAAGAAATAAAAGGCATCCAGGACTGGTATTTTGGCACAGTTGGTTAAGCCACTGCATGTGATACCAGCATCTCATATAGGAACATGGGTTTGAGTACTGGTTACTCCACTTCCAATCCAACTGCCTGTTAATATGCCTGGGAATGCAGAACATGACAGAGGTGCTTGGGCCCCTGTCACCAACAAGGGAGCCCAGAATGAAATTCCAGGCTCCTGGCTTTGGCCTGGCCCAGCCTTCACCATTACAGACATTTGGGGAGCCAACCAGTAGATGGAGGATCTCTTTCTCTCTGTTTCTCCCTTTCCTCTCTTTGTAATTTTGCCTTTTAAATAAATAAACCTTTATAAAAAGGCATCCAAACTGGAAAAGAGAAATCAATTTGTAGTCAAATATATGTATTTATAGAAAATCCTAAAGACTCCACCAAAAACTCTCATAACTAATAAAAAATCATTAAAGTAGCAGGATATAAAAGCAACATACAAAATATCATAACATTTCTCTGAATTTTTCTCTGAAAAATAAATTTAAAAAATAATGCCACTTAAAATAGCCATCAAAAGAAAATCCCTAGGAATAAATTTAACCAAAAATGTAAAAGGTCTCTACAGGGGCCATTGTGGCATAGTGGATTAAGCTACCACCTGCAGTGCTGGCATCCCATATAGACACCTTTTCGAAT